GACGGCTAGCGCAGATAGCCCTCGTGTAGTTTTGCGCGAATTTCAAAACAAACAAACAAGCTTATTGATTAGCCGCAGGGCTATCTTTTATATATATGTTAAAGCACAACGTATTGTCCAACTAATTTTATCACATTAAAAGGTTGGAGGTGGTATAAATGAGGTGGACGAGATGCTAGGCGCAGAAACTAGACTGGAGATGGAGGTTTGTAACATCAGAGAGAAGATGCAGTAATTAAGATTGAGGTGATTTGAGCATGTGCAAAGGATAGGTTTGTTTTGAATTTCGCGCAAACCTACACAAAGGTTCTCTGCGCTAACCGTCCCTAATTTAGCAGTGATATACTAGAAGGAAGGCAACTAATAATCACCACCCACCGCCAACTCTTGGGCTACCCTTTTACCAACAAATAATGGGATTGACTGTAACATTATAAAGCCCCCAGGGTGAACATTTTTGGTGTGACAAGGATTCGAACTTGGCACCCGTAGATTGCGAGTCGAGCGCTCTGGCCATGCCGGGCCCTCGAATAAGGAACCGACTACAACTAACCAATATGACTATATAAAAATTCATTGCCAGTAAAGACTTCTTGCAACTTAATAGCAGACAGCTTCCTTAATTTTGAAAACTAATAATTTATAATAATTCAAAAATCTAAGATTCACGAACTAATTTTCTCATAAAATTTTTATTTGTTTCTTTATCGTAGCGCAAAGGCACCCCGAACTATCTGCTATGTCCACTGAGGGGAATGAAACCCCGATCTTAGTGTTGTACGGCCGTAAACTTACCGCTGACCCAACTGGGGGCCATCAAATCTTGGAAGGACAGGCCAAGGAAAGAAAGATTTTCGAAATTCATTTGACTGTTAGTTATTATTGTTATTTGCCTTGGATGAATGTGACCAAATTAAGCTATCAAGTGTAACCAATATTTCCTCACTGGCTGTGAATACGTTTTAAAGAAGTGCTTTATTTAAAAAAATGAAATAAAGTTCACGTGCCTAAAATCACCAATAACGGTTTTTTATAAAACATTTCAAATTTATTACTTTAAGTACTCTTTGTGATTAAGGAAACATAAGTCTGTGAGATCAATAAAAGCTATTACAAACACAAAGTAAGTTTTCGGATAACCCTAAAATGATCGACAATGTAATGTTAAACATTTGGAAATTATAAGATCGTATTTCATTTTCACTAGGTAGAGAGAGTCAAATGCGGAAGGAAATAAGCTTTGTAAATTTTCAGTTGAGTGACCATCATGACGTAGTTTTAAAAACCTAATCCTAGAGTCTTCCTCATCACGGGCTGAAATCTGATATAAAGATAAATCTATCGTAGAAAAAGATTAATATTTAATTTGCAATGAGTTACTACAAAACTTGAAATAGCACAACATTTAAAAAAAATCTTGAATTTAAGAAGTGTAAATGTGATCATTGACGTTTCTTGACCATTTTTTCTAATTCATCCATCACTGCAGAATCGAACGGACCACAGATGTATTTTCCTTGACTGTTTGCATCACTAGAAACCCAGTATTCATACACTAGGTCTTTAAACCTATCTGATGTCATGGCGTTACCGTTGCTTCTATCTTCATCCTGTAATAGATTAATTGTAAGTATTTGAGACTTTTACTGATTTTACTCATTTTGGTGCTCTAAACCTCTTCTCAATATTTCTGTTAATTTCAGGCATTGCCCTAATAATTGTAGGAGTAAAATATTATAGACTTAGTAACGTAAATATAGAAAAACAATATTAAGTAAAAACGTTTTCTAGAGAAACGTAATCAACAGTCTGAAGTACTATAGTTTACTTTTACGTTTTTGATTAAAGTATCACTAAAAAAAATTAAATGCTTTAGTACTGTGCTTTTTTTAAAACACAAATGTTTTAATTACTTGTAGATCTTACATTTTGTATTTGTACAGATCACAGGAACTTACATTTAACATAAACTGGAAACATTCTTGGGCTCGGTTAACATCCATATTTTGATTGGTGAGATACTTTTTGTAATCCTTAACACAGAACAAACCATCCTCTGTAAGAAATCAAACACTTGATTTTAGATTTACTTTGAAAAACATATGTACATAATTCAAATCAAATACAATTAAACGTACGACACAAATTAAACCTAACATGATTATAACGTAAACATGTATTTTTTAAAAAAGTGTATGGTTCAAGGGTCGGGTGTGGTCTAGTAATTAAAATACGTGCATTATAAATTCGAGAATTCATGGTTCGCGTACCGTTGTTGCACTTTGAGGTTGTGGATGCACTAAGAGTGACGGTCAAATCCCATTATTTTGATCAAGCAAGTGCAGCTCAAAAGTTGGCGTTGGATTATTGACTGGCTTCCTTCCCTTTAGTCTATTGGTAAAAAACTATGAACGGTTATGTGAAGATAGCCCTCTGTGTAGCTTTACGCGAAAAGTATAAAACATTATATCGTAAAGGTGAAATAAGATCAGTCATAATGTCACAATCAGCTGACACATACGACTCAAAACATACAAGTGTCCTATATTGATTAGAAACTACAGTGTAACCTAACTAATCGTTCTTACACAAGCTTTGTGGCCCAAATTTATGTAAATAGAAGATCTGAAAGGTTAACTTCAACGGGCGAAAAATTTGATGAGCGTTAATGCAGCATTATCAAAACATGCCTGTAGCCATACTAATGCGTGAACTCGGAACAATGCATAAGTCCGTTTTGTAGTGGAAATTGTAACACAGGCCTGCGAATTTAAACTTCATAAAAGTTGTTTTGGTTTTAA